CCGCAGCAGGAATTTTTCTCGCAGTTTAATTTTATCGCTCAGGCGAATAAATGGGACGACGCGACTAAGACCGTTGCGCTTGCTGCGTGTTTGAGGGGCAAAGCGCGTTCTGTGTTAGAAGCGGTACAAGATGTGTCGAGTTTGGAATTTTCGGAGTTGAAATCTAAACTCGAATTGCGTTTTGGGGAGGGACATCTGTCTCAGAATTTTTACACGCAATTTACGAACCGTAAACAGAAAGCTGGGGAAGATTTGGCTACCCTTGGCTCTGAGTTTAAAAGACTCGTGCGCCTCGCTTATCCTGAATGTCCGCTTGAGGTTCCGAAAGAATTGCCTGCGCACAATTTATTTCTGCTGTTTCTGATAACTTTATTAGAAAAACCCTTCAACTCGAAAATGTTGATTCTTTGAATTCGGCGATAGAGAAGGCGAAAACTATAAAAAATTATTCAAGGGGAAGGTTTCGGGAAAAGAGGAGAAAATTTTAATAAGAGTTTTTCAGTAACAGCTGAGAGGGATGCGCAGGAAAGACAAAAAGATCATTCTTCCTTTAAGAAAGATTTTAACAAAAAGTTGCGTAATAAGAAATTTGACGCCGACCGAAGGGAATGTTGGACATGCGGAAAAACTGGGCATTTCCGTTCTGATTGTCCTAGCAAGCAGGAAAACGCGATTTAGTCGCACTTGGTGAGGGGAGTTCGACTCGCGTTTGTGATCCCTCGAAAACTTGTATTTTACATGTTAATAGAATTAAGACAAGTTTTAATGATTTTTGTTATAAAGGAAAAGTTGATGGAGAAGAGTGTTCTTTCAAGGTAAATACGGGCTCGGATGTTTCCATTTTAAGTATTAGATTGGTTAAAATGAAGAAAAAGTTAAGAGATGTGAAACACTTGAATTTTAGATATTTTACGGGGGAGAAAGTCCCTATAAAGTTTCAGATAGAAGCAAAAGTAGAATTAGGGAAATATTCCGTTATACTTTCCATGCTTATTGCAGATATTAATAGTGATTGTCTTTTAGGAATAGATTTCTTAAAGATCGTTAATTTAGAAAAGGTTTTTGAATCAGCTTTTACAACTCCACGATTAAATAAAGAAATTGCTCGAATTTCGTATTCTTCTGAAGCAGTCCCATTTTCCTTGAAGGAACTCTTTATTGAAAATTCTCGAAATTTAGTTGGTTTCGAAAAAGAGGACTTTGCTAATTTTCTTAAAAATTTTCATGATATGTTTTCTGAAAAGATTGTTGCAGGAAATTGTAATTTGATTGAACATGTTATAAATGTACAAAATTCTCTCACCATAAAGCAGGTATCTCGACGAATTCCAATCCAAATGAGAAATGAAGTAGATAAGGTTATAGAGGAAATGAAGTCCCAAGGAGTAATAGAAAGTCTCAAAGTCCTTGGGTTTCCCCGGTAGTACTAGTGAGAAAGAAGGATGGTACAATCAGGTTTTGTGTGGATTTCCGTAAATTAAATATGCTAACAATTAAGGATTCGTATCCTCTTCCCAGAATTGATGAAATACTTGATCAACTAGCAGGTAATTCTTGGTTTTCTACGTTAGATCTTAAAAGTGGTTATTGGCAGTTAAAGTTGCGTTCTGAAGACAAAGAGAAAACGGCTTTCTCGTTTGGCAGAGGACTTTGGCAATTTACGGTAATGCCCTTTGGGCTATGCAATGCCCCCGCAACATTTGAACGTCTTATGGAAAGAGTTTTACGAAACTTGTTATCTAAAATTTGTCTTGTTTATTTGGATGACATAATAACTTATGGAAAAAGTTTCACTGAAATGATAGAAAATCTTGAGAAAGTTTTGTTAAGATTACGTGAAGCAAATTTAAAAATTAATCCAACGAAATGTATTTTATTTGCAAGAAAAGTGAAATATTTAGGACATGTAGTTTCAGCGGAAGGCGTTGCCACGGACCCTGAAAAGATTGTTGCCGTAAGAGAATGGCCAATAGCTGACACTAAGAAACAATTACGTAGTTTTCTCGGATTTTGCTCTTACTATCGTAGATTTGTAAAAAATTTTTCCTCTCTAGCCAAATCTCTTTACGCGTTAACAAAGAATCAAATGAAATTTGAATGGGGAAAAGAATGCCAAAACGCTTTTGAACAATTAAAATTCATCTTGTCTTCTTCTCCAATTCTTTCCTTTCCGAAAGGAGAAGATGAATTTATATTAGATACAGATGCTTCCAATATCGGTATTGGTGCAGTTTTGTCACAAAAGCAAGAGGGGGAAGAAAAGGTTATTGCATATTTTAGTCAAGTGCTTAGTAAAGCTGAGCGTAATTATTGTGTTACTCGTCGAGAACTTTTAGCGATTTTAAATTCGGTTAAATCCTTTCGCCATTATCTCTTGGGGCAAAGATTTTTTATTCGTTACAGATCATGTTTCTTTACGGTGGCTTATGTTTTTTAGAGATTTAGAAGGACAACTGGCTCGTTGGTTAGAGAGACTCCAGCAGTACGATTTTGAGATAGTTCATCGGAAAGGACTTTCGCACAAAAATGCCGACGGACTGTCCGAACGTCTGTGTGAGTCGTTCGGCTGTGAATATTGTGCAAAAGTGGAAAAGAAATATGCTGAGGAGTTCGAAAAGACTTCGCTCGCATTATGTTAGAAGGTGAAAGTTTAGAAGAATGGCGGAAAGCACAGGAAGAAGATGCTAATTTCAATTATACTTCAAAGTAAGAAAGCGGGAGTGCGTCCTTCTCGTTCGGAAATAGCTGCCAAGGATGTTTCAGCCCAGTTATACTGGTCGTATTGGGACGCTCTTATTGTTAAAGAGGGAATCCTTTTCAAGAAATGGGAAGCTCCGAATTTAAAATTCAGTTTTCTTCAACTTGTTGTTCCGCGAAAGCGAGTAAAGGAAGTTTTGCAGATGACGCACGATTCTCCATCGGGAGGACATTTTGGAATAAACAAGACCTTGGAAAAGGTTCGAAAAAGCTTCTTCTGGGCTACCTGCAAGCAAGATGTTGAGGAGTGGTGTAGAACTTGTGGAATATGTATTTCAAAAAAAGGTCCCTTGGGAAAAGGAAAGTCTCCTCTTCAAATATATAATGTTGGAGCTTCATTGGAAAGGGTGCAAATGGATATTCTTGGTCCTTTTCCATTGACTGATTCTGGAAATAGATTTTTGCTTGTCATCGTGGATTGTTTTACAAAATGGGTGGAAGCCTTTCCCTTAAGAAATATTAGAGCTGAGACGGTGGCAAAAATTTTTGTCAAGCAGTTCATCTCTAGGCACGGAGTGCCTGTTGAGGTTCACACCGATCAAGGAAAGAACTTTGAATCAAAACTTTTCTCTGAATTAATGAGGCTTCTAGGAATAAAGAAAACGAGAACTACTGCTCTTCATCCTCTGACGGGCAGGTTGAACGCCAGCATCAGACAATAACTAGTTATCTTGCAAAATATGTTGCTCAGGATCAAAGAGATTGGGATCAATGGGTTCCCATGTTTCTTCTTGCTTATAGATCTTCGAAACATGAGACTACCGGGTTAACTCCTGCGGAGTTATATTTTGCTCAAGATCTTAAGTTACCTGTCGATTTATTACGAGGAAGTCCTTCACAGTTTTCTGAGGAAAAATCTCTTCCGGGAGAAGATTTTCTGAACAGTTTGAAAAAGGAATTGGAAAAGATTCATTCTTATGTTAGAGAACAAATGAATCTGAAATCCTCTCGGATGAAAGTCCGATATGATCGGGGGGCTAGAGAAATTCTTTTTCAAGAAGGGCAGAAAGTATGGTTCTTTAATCTCCGTAGGGTTAAGGGAAGAGCTCCAAAGTTGCAGTGCAACTGGGAGGGTCCCTTTCACATAATTAAGGGATTAAACGATGTCGTATTTTGTATCCAAAAATCATCGAAACATAAGAGAAAGGTTGTTCATGCGGATAGGTTGGCTCCATTTTTTGAGCGAGAGTTGAAGGATAATTAGAAAGACTTTGAAGCTCAGAGTCTCATTTAAAATTAATTTATTTGTTAAAGAAAAGCATTTTTCTGTTTTCTGCGTTAAATATTTTGCTCCTTTCAGAAAGCATGGTCTCCTGAAGTATTCCCTTTCCCTTTAAAACTTCCGTCAATCTCTACAGGAAGAAGAATATTTAATTTTTGAAGACTGCCTCACCCGCGGTTTTTGAGCTGTGGTTTTCCCGTCGGGTCTTAGGGCGAATGCCGAGGCAGGGACTTGAGGAGTCCTCTTTGGAGGATGTCGGGTCCACAGTAGATACCCCCCTCTTGTCCGAAGACTTGCAAGATCGCATTGAGGCAGCACTGACACTTGAGCTGTGGTTTTCCCGTCGGGTCTTAGGGCGAACGCCGAGGCAGGGGCTTGAGGAGTCCTCTTTGGAGGATATCGGGTCCACAGTAGATACTCCCTTCTTGTCCGAAGACTTGCAAGATTGCGTTGAAGCAGTACTAACATTGAGGAAGTTCACGTGAAAGAAGAGCGGAAATCCTATGAGGGCGTACGGAAGTTGAAGAAGAAGAAAGCCTGGCCAGCTCTCTATCTTCAAGAAAGTCCGCAATGAAGTCCCAAAGTCGTAGGTGGAGACCGGGGAAAAATGGGGCCTGGTAACTCGTGGCAGCAGCTCGAGGTAGGGCAAGAGACCATTTTTGGTACCCTGAATCTTCAAAATAACGAAAAGGGACAGAAAACCGCTTGAAATCTGCTCTTCCGGATTGTCGGGACGACAATCTTGAAGAAGGAGGGCAGTGTTGGCTTGGAAAGACATGTCACTCTCGGTTACGAATATAAATGAATGTTGTATTCCTGTTGTACATAATATTTCTGTGTGTAAAGTTGTTCTCATTTTTACGGAAGTGTCCTTTTATTGCGTGTGCGCGAGTGTGAGAAAGTGAGAGAGCGACGAACGCAACAATATATATTGAAATATATCGATAAACTCAAGTCGATTAAGTCGATAACGAAGTTGTCGGTAACAGGAACGCCACAGTACTCCCCCGCAAGCAACATCCTATGTTGCGAAACGTACTTGTTTCCTGGGACCAGAATACGTTTTCAGAGTTCCATGAGAAGTAGTTAAAGGCGCAGTGGAACTTGAAGTAACTGGATCAGAGTCTACCTCTTTAGGCAAAAATACTGGCTTCAGCCGTTCAGTAGAGACATCAGTAAGTTTTCCTGAAACATCGACAGTGAAAAGATTATTATTAATCCTATTTACAACACGAAAAGGACCATTGTAAGGTGGTTGAAGAGATTTTTTAACAGAATCTACACGAATCCAAACATGCGTGCAATCAAATAAATTCTTGTGATAAAAAGGTGTTTTTTTGTGATGGTGCGCAGTAGGTTGAGACTTGATTTCTCTCATATGAATTTGGTGTTTTTCCACAAAAATTTCTGGATCAGCTGGAAGATCTTCTATGAAAAATTCTCCTGGAATCTTCAAAGAAGTTCCATAAAGCATTTCTGCTGGAGACGCTTGCAAATCTTCCTTGAAACAGGTACGCAGTCCTAACAAAACCGTTGGCAAAACTACTATCCAATCTTTTTAGCGTGACACATAATGGCACTCTTTAATGTGCGATGCCATCTCTCTAGAATTCCATTAGAGGCTGGGTGATAAACAGAAGTCCTGACACGCTCGCAACCAATAAGGTTGGTGAGAGCTTTAAACAGTGCTGCTTCAAACTGTGGACCTTGATCTGTGGTAATAATATGTGGAGAACCAAATCTCGCCACCCAATGAGAGTAAAAGGCAGTTGTGACAGTTTCCGCAGAAATCTCAACCAAAGGAATTGCTTCTGGCCATCGTGAAAATCTGTCAATCATGGTGAGACAATACCTAAAGTTTTGGCAAACTGGAAGAGGACCAATCAAGTCCAAATGGACATGTTGAAAGCGCTGATCTGGAATAGGAATCTTTTGAGGAAAATTCTTCATATGTTTGTGAATCTTAGCTCGTTGACAAGGTAAACAAGTTCTAGACCATTCTTTAATGTCTTTTTTCATCGTTGGCCAAACAAATTTTTGCCGAATCAGCTTGCAGGTAGAACGTCCACTGGGATGCGAAAGTCCATGAACCACATCAAAAGCGCTGATCTATAGGAATCTTTTGAGGAAAATTCTTCATATGTTTGTGAATCTTAGCTCGTTGACAAGGTAAACAAGTTCTAGACCATTTTTTAATGTCTCTTTTCATCGTTGACCAAACAAATTTTTTTCGAATCAGCTTGCAGGTAGAACGTCCACTGGGATGCGAAAGTCCATGAACAACATCAAAAATTCTTCGTAAAAGTTGAAGTACGTATGGACGAATATTGTCAGTGGAACAATCGCAAAATATCGGAGAAGAAGAACCAGTAAGAATCAGTTTCTGTAGTTTGAGAGAAGAATCTGTAAGGAGAGATTTTAATTCCTCATCTTCTTGTTGGTATGTAGTCAGATCTTCCAGAGAAACAATAACTGGCATAGAAATGGATTCAATTCTTGAGAGCGAATCTGCAACAATATTATCTTTTCCAGGAATATATTCAATGTTAGTTGAAAATTGAGCAATAAAATCCAATTGACGAATCTGTCTAGGCGAAGCTTTATCCAATTTCTGCTTGAAAGCATAAACTAAAGATTTATGATCAATTCATATCAAAATTTGACGTCCTTCAAGAAGATATCTAAAATGTTTGATATCCAAGAAGATACTCAGAAGTTCACGATCGTAAGTGCTATAATTGCGTTGAGTGTTATCCAACTTCTTAGAGAAAAACGCTATTGGTTTATTATAATCGTCAATAATTTGTCCCAGAGAAGCACCTACCGCTAAATCAGAAGCATCGCAAGTCAAAATAAGAGGGCCTGTTGAAGCAGGATGAGTCAAGGTTGTGATACGTAACAGCTCTTCCTTGCAGAACTTGAAAGTCTCTCCCTCTTCAGGTGACCAATTAACTAAACTCTTATCCTTCTTCTTACTGTCCTTCAAATAGTCAGTCAAAATTGCTTGATGTGAAGCAGCGTTTTTTAAACAACGACGATAGAAGTTTATAATCCCTAAAAATCTTCTTAATTCATGAATGGTTTTAGGTTTTTTATAATCCATAATTGCTTTAACCTTTTCTGTAGTAGGTTTAATTCCTTGCTTGGAAACAAGATAACCAAGAAAAGGAATTTCTTCTTTACCAAAAAGACATTTGGAAATGTTAATCGTCATACCAAATTGTTTCAGACGTGTAAAAACAGTATGCAGATGCTTGAAATGATCACTTTTATTGGACGAGGTTACCAAAATATGATCCAGATAACAGAAACAAAAGTCAAGACCAGAAAGAATACTATTCATTAAACGTTGGAAGGTATGAGCAGCGTTTCGAAGACCAAAAGGCATTACCAGAAATTCAAAGAGTCCAAGAGGAGTAGTCACAGCAGTTTTCGGTATATCTTCTTTTGCAACAGGAACTGGATAGTAGGCTTTTACAAGATCTATTTTGGAAAATATGTTCTTTTCGTGTAGACCTGCAGTAAAATCTTGAATGTGTGGAAGAGGATATCTATCCGGAATAGTGGCTGCATTCGAATCACGATAATGTCCACAAAGTCGCCAAGAATTTGATCCACCCTTAGGAACCATATGAAGCGCTCCGCTTTACTGGGCGGCTGCCGCCCAAGAGCTACTCGATGGTCGACAAATTCCTTGCTCCATCATTGTATTAAATTCATCTCTTGGGAACTTCAATTTCTCAGGAGATAATCGTCGAGGAGTCGAAGCAGCAGGAGAACCTTTGACGATGATATGATGTTCTACCTTTTTTTTTGTAACGGAGGGGAAATGCCTTTACGCATACCCCGCCTCGACGGGGTTATGTGGGACTACCCCCGGCCTAATCAAACGGCCGGGGACTACCAACTAAAACCCCTCCGGGTGGCCTATCTCGGGCGTTTCAGAGGGCCTCTCTGGAAACTGGCATATGCACTACATCAGAGAGGCCCTCCGCCCACGAGCCATGCCCTCTGGAGGGGGAGTTTTCCCTCCCCTAGTGTCCCTGTATGTTATAGGGACTTCAGCTCATATCAGCGAGAGGGGGACCACCGCCCCTCTCGCTTCCCTCCGGTGTTATCCCGGGGAGGGCGTGGCCGGGCCCAGGTACCCCACCTGGGCTTCGACCACCGGGCCCGGCTTCAGGTGAGACGTCCGCGACAGAACAGCGGACGTCCCCCGGGTTCGCCGGGACTTTGTGCATACGCGGGGGGAGTTCTGTGGGGCCGGGTCCGATCACGGCCCAGCCCCCTCCTCCCGCGCGCGCCCCCCTCTTGTCTGGGGCGTGTCTTCGGAGTCGCCGCGGGCCAATGTGGCCCCGGCCCCCGTCAATCCACCCCGGGGGGTCCTTGAGGCACGACGGCGTGTCGTGCCACTACGGCCAGGGGTCGTGAGGGGCCCGCGGGTACTGCCCGTAAAGGGCTCTTCCCGCGTCTCCCCCGGCTGCCCCACCTCGGCCGCGAGCTCCCCGGCGTCCTCCGGGGAGTCGCTCCCGCTCTCTTTCGGCCTCCTCCTTCTGCAACATTACTGCTTCACAGAAGGAGGAGACCGCCCTCCAGGACTCCTCGCTCTCGAGCATGACCGCTACGATGCTCGAGAGCGAGAAGTCAGTTTCGCCTATTATTTGGACGAGGACACGACGC